TGAGACGGGGCCTGCCTGTGAGCCTGGAGCAGGAAAGGAGGAAAACTCGTGACTCACTGGCCCCCTGAGAGAGGACTACCTGTATGGCAGAGAGGGAGCAGCCCAGCTAATAGGCCTGGTAGCAGCAGTCATTCCGTAAGTGGTACAGGAGAGGACCTGAGTGAGTACACCTACACCCCCTGGGCAGATAGGGGAAGCAGCACTCAGATAGGAAACCAGAATAGCCCTCTGCTAGTGACTGTTACCCATTTAAAGGAACAGGAGCCAGATTCCTTGCCCAGGAAGAAAGTCTCCAGATTGCTGGGTGAAGAGGAGTTCATCTGGGGTCTGGGGAGGTACAACCAGGAGCTGCTGGCTAGCACTCCAACAGAGACTGTGTGTGAGAGAAGAGAAGCTGTGAATACTTCAGGAAGCTGTCCTCAGATTTCAGTTCCCTTGGACATCCTATACACCCCTTACCCTGTCCAAGTTCTAATCCCCTCAATAAAATAACAAAACAAATGCTCAAGGACTGATTCCTGTCTATGGTTGAGAGCTTGAAAAATGCTAAGGCAATGGCTGTGCAGGACTATAGGGGGACCCAGGTTATCAGCAACCTCTAAGGGGGTAGTGCTACATAACATTCAAACCAAACCTCCCTATCCATCCACGTTTTATTTTGTTGAGAAATCATTTTGAAAAACACCATAGCATTTCTAGCCATTGCCATCTTGGTAAGGACAGAAGGTTCATGTAGCATTTACTTTTGGGAATCTGTCTGCCCTTAGCTCAGGCAGGCACACACAAAGGTGAGCTTAGCTGAGAAAGCCCCTCCTCCAGATGAAAGAAACTAAAATGCCATGAAGACTCCTGGGATGTATATCATTTGCTTAGGCCAGAAACCAGGAAGTAACTGAAGAAATTAAAATAAAAATTATTATACAGGATTTATATAGCGCCAACAGTCTGCTCAGCGCTTTACAATATAACAGAAGACAATACATCAACAATACAGTTCAATACAAGAGGGTTAGGAGGGCCCTGCTCCTTGGAGCTTACAATCTAGGAGGGAGGGGCTAGTGGTACAAAAGGTAGTAACTGTGGGGGATGGGCTGGTAGGAGGAATAGAAGATTCCATTATTAGCTAAGGGCAGGATAGGCTTCCCTGAAGGTTTTCAGAGATCGCCTAAAAGTGAACGGAGTAGCCAATAGTCTGATAAATTGCGGTAGAGAGTTCCAGAGGATGGGGGAGGCTCTGGAGAAGTCCTGGAGATGAGCATGGGAGGAGGAGACAAGGGAGCTAGAGAGTAGGAGGTCGTGCGAGGAGCGGAGAGGACGGTTTGGGTGATATTTGGAGACAAGATTGGTGATGTAATTTGGGGCAGAGTTATAAATGGCTTTATATGTTATTGTCAATGTTTTGAATTTTAATCCGTTGGGCAATGGGAAGCCAGTGGAGGGATTGGCAGAGAGGGGTGGCAGATACAGAACGGTTAGTAAAGTGGATAAGTCTGGCAGCAGCATTCTTGATAGACTGAAGAGGGGATAGCCTGCGATGAGGTAGGCCAATGAGGAGGGAGTTACAATAGTCAAGGCGAGAGATAACCGGGGAGTAAAGAAGTTGCTTAGTAGTTTCCAAGGTTAAGAACGTTTAAAAAAAAGTAAATATAATATCCCTTCCTTTCGATTTACTAGAGGTAGCAGCATTAGGATTAAAAATAGTTACCATTGAGAGAATTTAGTTCAGGGTAAAGTTTCAGTACCAAAACCGGTAACCCCGAGATACACTCGGGATTACCCTGCAGAGTTGCTTCGGGATACTTATTTCACTTATCTTGTCCTGCACTCCCGCGTTGTCCCCCCTGCAGCGTCCCCGGCCATCTCCTCTGGCTGATTCCGGTACCCGGGTTCTGTTCCCTGTGAGCGTCGGTACATACGGGGGACGGAACCGACGGGAAATTCAAAAATGTAAAGATGTGACATTTACTCAATACACTAAAATCTGATAGTATTACATTACTGTATCCAACAATTCCACATACATTTTGTCCCGAGTGCTTTGTCCTTTTTTGCTGTTCTTTCTGCCTGGAAACTGAGAAATGTCCATGGCATCAAAAAAGCGTCCCTGTTAGGTCAAAAGCGGTTTTAGACCGGCTAGAGAACAGCGATAGTAAATTAGAACCACTTGCAGAATTGAGTGATAATGATTAGTGGGGAAATTTGTCATCAGACACTGAAAACGATTTTGCGACTGAACCCAGTGATGTGCGAACTTGGAGCTATATTTCAAATTTCAGTGTTTTTGGTTTGATTACATTATTGAATTACATTTTATATTATTATATTATTATTTTTTATGATTATTTATTATATTATAATTTATGATTTTGTGTTTCAAGTTTTATTATACCCGGGATGTTTACTAGACTAGGGTCGGACAGATTTCAGTGAGTTATTCCTAAGAATTACAGGCCTACAATAAAAAAAACAACATATTTCCATGCAAAAAAAATGCATTTGAGCACAGAAATACTGACATAATCAGACCGCTAGGGAGGTTAAGCCAATGGGCCAGAACATGTATGCAGATTAGGAAAGTCAGAGAAATGTCAAAGGTCCTTACCTGCAGAATTAATCTGGGTCACTGGCAAGAAGTATAGAAGCAATAGGGCCAGAATGATAAACTGTGTCACTAGTATTTCATACCACTGTCCCTGGTTTCAAGGGACCGTTTCTGATTTGGAACAAAGACCATCTGTCCCTCTTTCCCCCTCATTTGTCCCTCATTTTGGTCTGATTCATATAGTTGTATATAAAATGAACTATTTATCTTTCAAAAAGAGTTTCCCAGTGCAAAACCTTTCATCCAAATTCTACATTTTTGCATTTGTAAACTTCAAAAGCTGGTGTAAAGGAACAGTAGTGGTAAAAAAAAAGCATTGTAGGTTTTCTAATCAGTTTTTTTTTTTGTTTCATTCTCCATTGAGGGAACGTGGGGGGGGGGGGGGGGGGGGTCCTATGCCTACATACATTTGCTAATGTATTACAGTAAGTGAAAGTGAAACTGCAGTAGGAAAAGATTAGGCTCCTTGCTAGTCAGGGCTGTGAGTGTAAATCTCAGAGATGGATGCACAGAAATACAGAAATACAGATCCTTTGCAGGTAAATCAGCTCCTTTTATATATGTTTCATCTGTGTACTTAAAGCGTAATTTCACTCAAAAATAGATCACCTCTTATTCTCTCCCTACGCTCCCCCCTCCCTGACTCTGAGTTGATTTTGGGAGGGGGTATAGCTACCTTTTTTGTTGTTATCCACTCCCCCCTTATTAAATCCTCACCTAGGCCAGGATGACATAGCCTGGACCTGCCTCTCACCCCCCTTTAGCTACAGTATTTGAAGCTGCTGACTTTTAATTTTCACAACACCAGGTGAAGTTCCTCTTTGTGCTGTTTGCAATTTGAATTCATAAATAAATATGTATATGGTAGTTGTTTTAATTGTCAAAAGAATTGTTCTTTCATTACTGAGATATACACAGCCCTGCCACACAAAAGAGCCAGGTGGGTAACTGAGAATTGTAAGGGTTAGTTCAGGTGATTGTAAAGGCTATTTTTAATTTTATTTTTTTAAATAAAATAGATGTTATACCTATTTGTTCAGTGCGATGATATTGCACAATGTGGTCCTTTACCTATTCTTCTGGAGTCTCCTGCTAGTGCTCTCCGCTCTTTCTTCTTACAAATGTCCTTTCATCTAGCTGTGCTGAGGACCTGTGCGGGCATGCTTCTAGACTGAGCTGTATGCGTCCATGCGTCCATAGACACACACAGCACGGCTCGGTCACGCCCCCCTTCTCACAGGATTTGACTGACAGCAGTAGGAGCCAATGGCTCCTGCTGCTCTCAGTGTATCCTGTGAGCCCAGGAAGAGAGAGCAGTGGTGCTGCAGCAGCTGGGACAGCACTGGAGCATGAGAAGAGTCAGGTATTTAGGGATGGCTGGGGGGGAAGTTATTGTAATTTGTTTACCACAATGCAGAGAATGAATTAAGGTAAGAATAAACTTTTTGAGTTTAGAAATATTTTTACCTTTACCAAACAACTGTGTATGCAGATAAGGGGCATCTGTAGATGTAAAAAAACTGTGCAGCTTTGACTAAAGTTGAATATTACCCTTGCTATAGGTGTAGGCCATTTACATGCCTCCTGAAGGCTGAATGAAAAACTTTCAGAGGTGGCATTATTCCTTTTTGCCTGGTTGCTAGGGCGTTGCTAAGACACTCTCAGCTGATACAAACCTCCTTGCATGCACTATCCCCCATCACAGTATTTCTGAGTTATCACGGAGGAGATAGTGAACCACACATGTGCGGTTGCTTGAGAGCTTGCTCCTGTGATAGTGGGGATGAACAGTAATGGTTGAGAGTGTCTTAGCAACATCGTAGCAACAGGACAGGATGTGATGATGTCATCTCTGGGCCAGGCCATTTTTTTTGGGAGTTATGTAAATGGCCTTAACTTATAGTAATGGCATTATCCAACTTTATTTAAAGCTGCACAGTTTGTTTTTATCTACAGGCACTCCTTACCTGCATGAGCAGTTTTTTTTGTAAAGGTAAACGAATGAATTTAGCAATACGGATAGGTCACCTTCCTGCCCTCAACTGGTGATTGGACATTGGAGGAGCAGTAGCCAACTGATAAGCTCATCGCTATGCTCTGCTTCCTATTTTTCAGCATGTTACTTGTCAGAATATTGTGTTTATGCAGCACCCCTAACTGGCTCCATGTGCTGCCCCTCTCTCTCCAAGCATGGGTTCCACTATATAGAGGATTGCCTAGGCTGATACTGAATCCAATTCAAGATTTTACACAGGATGAATTCAAAAATACATTTAATTGTTTTTTTTTAATACATAACTCTATTCATTGTTTCTTTTTTTTTTTTTGTATCAGCCTCGAGTTCAGCTTTAAGATGTTCTACTCCTTGATGACCTAATTTCTTTTCTCTGTTTTGTAGGGCTCAGCAGATTCTTACACAAGCAGACCATCAGATTCTGATGTATCTCTGGAAGAGGACAGAGAAGCAATACGCCAAGAGAGAGAACAGCAAGCCGCAGTACAACTTGAGAGAGCCAAAGTAATGCCTGATAAATTCCACTAATAGCATATTTCTATCTAAACCGTGTGCGGAACATAAACCTTAAATACCGACAGGAAAAACTGCATCCTGTTCTGTGAAAACAAGGGCAAGATGGCCTTTTATACTGAGTGCATTTCAGCCAGTTCCTAACGAGCCGGCCAAAATGTGCTCATTGGGTGTTCCTGCCAGCCACAGTCAATGTGATAAGAGTTGATCGGTTAATTGACTTTAGTTGAAGAAGCCTGCTGGAAGATTTCCAGTTGAACAGCAGTTGCCTCCAATCAGATGCAGCCACTGTTTGGGTATTCTGACAGCCACTGCTAGCTGCCAGAATACAACTGCCCAGCAGGGGAATCTTTCCATCTGCCCTCTTTAGTGTGGATGGAGGAATCTGTTAGATTTCCTTTGTTCTTTTGCTCAGGCTGAACTAGAGAAATCTATGTGTTTGACCAGCTTTACATTTCTGCGGTCTCCTTAACTCTAAGGCACGGGTGTCAAACTGGAGGCCCTCCAGCTGTTGCCAAACTACAAGTCCCATGAGGCATTGCAAGATTGATAGTTACAAGCATGACTCCCAAAGGCAGATGCATGATGGAACTTGTAGTTTTGCAACAGCTGGAGGGACGCCAGTTAGACACCCGTGCTCGTTTAGACTTGCCGTTGGGGGGGGGGGGGTATTGAATATGTGTAACTGAGTCACATTTTAGTGTCTCCAACCTTCCTGTGGTGGTTAGAGATGCTATGGCAGAGGATAGGGGTGTTCACATGCCAGGGTCACGATGCTTCTCATCAGTGGCAAAAATTATTTGACAATTATCCACTGAACATAACCCAATCAAGTGAATGGAGACTGTACACATATATGTGGCCCCACTGAAGTAGTCTTCTTCCATGAGGCCGCATATATGCCTACATGTGTTTGTGCTGGGAACAATCCCAGCACAGAGACGGTTCCTATCAAGAGCTCCCATGTCTCCTAATAACAATCAGGAACCAGGAGACCCGGTTCCTGATCATCCGATCGCTGTAATAGATAAAGCATGAGCAAATGAATGCTGAAACTCCTGTGCTGGACGATGAGCTCCACAATGTCAGTAACCCAACATGGAGTACTTTTTGGGAATGCAAATCTTGCTGCCCTCAAAGGAGCAGGGAAATCCAAAGGAGCTGTGTGCAAAGAAACAAACAGAGGGTGCACGGGCCTAGTGCATTACCCTCTAAAAATGAGATTTATTGAATAAAAAGTGGTATACTCACAAAAGAATAAAATCAAAGGCACATCACAAAAGACAGCATGGTCCAATCTCCCTAGATGGTGGCTCTTGGGGGACTGTAGGCACCCAAATGGCTGATGCGTTTCGAGGCAGGCTCTGAGGAAGAGGTTCTGCCTCGAAACACGTCAGCCATTTGGAGGCCTACAGTCCCCGAATAGCCACCATCTAGGGAGACTGGACCATGCTGTCTTTTGTGATGTGCCTTTGATTTTATTCTTTGGTGAGTGTACCACTTATTATTCAATAAATATAATTTTTAGAAGGTAATGCACTAGGCCCGTGCACTCTCAGTTTGTTTCTTTGCACACAGATCACTGTAATAGACTTTGATTGGCTATCACAGTGATCAGTCACTGTGTGTTTTCTCCTCTGAATGGAGAAAATTATACATTGTATCTTTTTCTCCCTGCCAGGAAAGAAAAATGCGGACAAACAAATGTGTGTAAAAACATTAATACAAAATAGTAATACTAATTATAATAATAATAAAAAAATAAAAATTAAATAGCTATGTCAGGGTTTGATCTGAGTCAGAATCAAAGGTCAGGGTCAAGATCAGTATCAGTGTATTTTAGGTAGGATTAAGGCTCGGTTCACACTTTCGCGACTTGGGATACGATTTGGAGACCCCAAGTCGCATAACATGTGAAATCCCATGTTGGCCAATGAGAGCTGCCTTAATCAGCACTACTGAAGTTGCTCCGACATTAGAAAAGGTTCCTATACTACTTACAAGGTGACTTCTATCCAACTTGTGCCCATAGACTTTAATGGAAGTTGCCTCCAAGTCAGATCCTCATCTATATTGATGTGATTTGGATCAGACATTACAGGAAGATTACCCAGGCATTCCCTGAAAGTCGCATCAAAGTTGTACTCAAGTTGCCTGGCAAAGTCGTGCTGTAAGTTGCGCGACTTTTAGGTTGCAGTAGTGTGAACCTGTTATGAAAAAAAAAACGAATTAAAAAAAAAATGATATCATTGTCAGTGTGTTTTTAGGTAAAATTAAAAAAGTAAAAGTGCACCATTGTTTCATGGCCCTACTACGGGTACAAACAAGTAATATACACATATGTGGTATTGCTGTGATCATCAGGAGCAGGAAAATTTATTTTAGGCTGTTCTTTGGTGGTAGGTTATAGTAATAGAAAGAAATATACAGCGAAATTTAAAATTAAGGGGTAATACATCTGTGTGCAAGAGGTCTAAAGCTTACATTTCCTCTGCAGAAGCCATGCTGTTTCACCAAAATGATGTAGTGACACCCCAACCAGGGGCGGACTGACAACTCATGGGGCCCCCGGGCAATAGGGGATCATGGGGCCCCTGTGTCCTTGCCCACACTCAAACCACACCCAAAAAAGCCTATGAAAGCTACCAGGGGCATCTCATGGGGCCCCTTACTGACCCCGGTCCTTCGGCAGTGCCCGAGTTTTCGAATGGTCAGTCCGCCCCTGACCCAACCAAAATACTGCCTTAATAAACTATTGATAGAACACCAAATATTTGGTGCATTAAGGACAGATTTATGGAATGTGTTAAATGATTGTTCAAGCTGAGGGGTTTAAACAGTAAGATACGACAATGTAAAAAAAAGCCCCTAATGTCACGTGTTCCAAAAAAAAGGTTGCACAATCTGCACCAAATATTTTTTCAGAAAATCAATTCATCTGTATTTGAGGCAGTGGAGTTGTGCAGTTTTGTGCCAAAAAGATGATGGCTCAAGGCAGTCAAGATCGTGATTTCTGCACCTAATACGCTATAAGATGGATTATTGAGAGGAAATAGACTGTACACGTTACAAGTGCAGTTGCATTCATTTTTCCCATATCTTAGTAAATGAGGGGAAGCTCTGGTGATTTGCATCATCCAATCATGTGCAAGCAAAAAAAATTTTTTTTTTTTTGTTTTTCATTTTCCTTGCACATGATTGAGTATTCTTTACAAAGTAAAGTTTCACTGCATCTCAACTCTGGGGAAAATGAGTGCAACTGCACTAGTAAAGGATACAGTCTATTTGCCTTCATTAATCCACGTTGTAACGTATTAGGTCTTTTTGCCTTTAATAAATCCACCCCTATATGCACTTCAACATAATAGTGTATGTGAATTGCAATGTGACACAATCAGACGTGCCATGTGACACTTTGCATTCCTCTACAACAGTGGCCTCCGAACTGTGGCCTGGGGGCTGGATTTGGCCCTTTGCTTGCTTTTATTCGGCTCCTGGGGCACTATTTCATTCACTGATACCAACAATGGGCTATTATTCCTCCCAATGACACCAATGATGGGGAACCATTTCTCCCACTGACACCAAAGAAGAGGCATGGTATATTCCCACTGACCTCAGGACCTTTTCTACTCCCAGTGGCCCCAGTCTGCCCCCCTAAAGTCTGAATGACCGTGAACTGGCCCTTTGTTTGGATAGTTTGGAGACCCCTGCTCTAGCTCTACAACCACCAGTTGTAGTTTATCGGGCCCATTGTCTTTTTAGTTTTGGATAGAGAGGTTAGAATCTGTCAAGGAGCGAGACAGAAGGGACAAAAAAAAACCCAAAACAGTATATTAAACTGCTTTTAATAAATGTTGTAATAACATCACTCTTACAAAGAGATGTCTTGATCAGTGCATATACCAGGAGACATCTCTCCCCAGGTAATCAGGTCACATCTGCAGTGGCTTGCACATGCTGTCACTCCGCTGCCGGCAGAAGAAGAGATGAGAGCAAAGATGGAAACCACTGAAGCAGACGTCAAATAAAACCATGGAAGGGGGTCACTTCGACTTGTCCCAAAAAAAAAGTGGCTAGAGATGGGGACCAAAGTTGTATCCCAGGTGTGTGAGGAGTACTTTCACTTACATAGGACTGTGCTGGTGATTTAAATACAGCAGTCCCTGTTTCCAGGTGGTTTTTTGTATATTACAATGACCTCATCCATGGTTTTGTTCAGCGTCCGCGTGATTTCCATCCGTGCTTTCTGCTGGCAGCCTACTTCAAAGCAGCTGCAGATGTGACCTGGTTACCTTGGGAGAGGTGTCTCCTGGTTATTTGCCCTGACAACATCTCTTTTAAGCACAATTTTATTACTTGATTTATTAAAAGATATATTATCTGTTCAATTCGGCATGCTCTGTTTTTTTTGTTTCTTCTTTTCAGTTATATGGCCCTCATACACAGAGCTTGCAAGGGTTAAAACTGAACTCCAGGAAACTGGAAAATGCTCCCTTTCCCGCATGGCACTGGTTAATAGGTTTGTTTACCCGATCCTCTGCTCCTCCGCATTGCTAGACCGACCCCCACCGACTTCCCCATGCTCCAGCTGTCTAAGGTCCTGAAGTAATCAGGATTGTTGCAGGGTCCATAGCCCTGCATTGGATGAGAGGACACCAAGGGCCAGTGCATCATGTAGTATGGGGAGCACCGTTTGCTGAGTGAGCGTAGGATCAGATAAATGAAAGTACATTTCTCCTATAGACTAAGGCTGTCCATAGATGGACAGAAATTCGATCCAGCAGAGTCAGCAGTAGCCAGCCAAATTTCGATCCATCGATGGCCATTCCTGCTCGAAAGAAGTTGATCTAATGATAGACTTCTGGTAAACGGGACGATTGGAAAATGTTACACTGATAAGTGTATTCTGAGTCTCCACTCACAGAATACAATGGCATAGTGGGGTGGAGTCCTCCATTAAAAATCAAATTTCGTCATAAATTTACGCCAAAATGTATTCTGCGACATGTCTTTGCTAAAACAAAAGCCCAATACGTGTAAATTAATTGGTTTACGTGAAAGTTATAGCATTTACAAATGGTGGTATACATGCTGCAATTTTTTTTTTTATACTAGTAATGGCAGCAATTAGCAACTTATAGCGGGACTGCGGTGAGCATTCTGACACTGGGGGGGGGGGGGAACTTACTAATGGCCACTGACATCCCCAGTGACACTAATACAGTGATCATTGCTAATAAAAAGCACTGACACTGACTAATGACACTGGGCAGGAAGGGGTTAACATGTGGGGCGATCAAAGAGTTAACTGTGTGTTGTGCTCACACTATGCGCTGTGTTGTGTTTTACTAAGGAGACATGCTGCTTTGTATTGCTGTGCTGTGCAGAGTGATACAAAGCAGCATGTCCATGCTGACGGGAGAGACCTGTGTTATTTACTCACAGATCTCTCCCCTCTCCGCTTTAGCGGCGATCATCGAGTCCCAGCCGAGAATCGCCGGTCGGGACCCGGTGATTGACATCCACTGCAACCAATAGTAGCATGGGTAGGGCAACGTGCACCCCCTACCTGGAACTGCAAAATCACACACACACACATATATATATATATTATTATACAGTATTTATATAGCGCCAAAGGGTTTGCTCAGCGCTGTACAGTAGCAAGGGGGACAGAACATGAGACAAGACAGTAACAATACAATACACGAGGGGTTCGAGGGCCCTGCTCTTTCGAGCTTACAATCTAGGAGATATATATATATATATATATATATGTGATTTTGTGCAGTGCGGCCGCCCTGTAGCAGTATATCTGCTATAGGTCGGTAGGCAAGCGGTTAACCTCGCTTTTTGTGGAGGGGGGGATCCATTTGTTTTGTTTTGTTTTGTTTTTTTTTCAATCAGCTCTGTGGCTGATCGGAAGAAAAAATTAATCTATGGGCAGCCTATGCGAGCAATCATCACCTGTAGTGCAGGCGCAGCCCCAGTGCATGGAGAATTTTCCGATTTCCTGGAGTTGGGCTTTAAGCAGTTTTACCTACAGTAGGTACCTGTGAAGTGCAGTGCATTTGAAGATATTTAGTAGGGAAATAGTGAACTCAAGCTTTCCCTTTGCAGAAGAAAAAAAAAATGGGATCACTCTGAAGGTGCTTGATGGCATGAAAACCTACGTGCTGCAAGACTTGGCACCTTTACCATTTACTTATTGTAAGGGTCAGAAGGATTAAATAAATATGTTGTCTTTTATGATATAGAAATAATTTTCTACTTTTATTTGTAAGGCCTCATTTAGACTTGACTTTGAAAAGTGATTTGTGGTGGATTGCTTTTCAGGGGCATTTGACAGGCAGTTCAGAGGTGATATGTCAGCTTCTCATCTCCTGTATTAACCGTTCAAGCCCTGTGTACACTTATTGTATTGGGAACTCGTGTTCCCGTTCATGATTTTGTGTGGGCAATTTTCACGCAATTCCCCGTATCACATCCAAGGCAGCCTTCTTTTGAATCGGCTGCCTTCTGCATGTTTGTGGTGTCAAAGAAGCTCAAGGAGCAGATTTTGCCCTGTGCCAGGCGCTCTTTTACAAGCACATTCTGCTGTGCAACAGTCGCAACAAAATCACACTGCGATTGGACTGCCAATAAGAATGCATGGTGCATTGCGTGTTATGCTGCGAATGGGAATCGTGGGCAGAATTGTGCTGATTCCAAGTGTTCCTGGCTCTAAAAGCCTGCAGCACCATGCCGCAACTGCGCAATGAACATGCGCAATTCATGCTGTTGCACAGCAGTTGAGGTGTGGTACCATGTACTTGAGTGGGTCATGTTTGATGGCGGCACCCTTGCCAAACGCAACTGGTTCCATAATTTTCATGACGCTTTGCTGCTGGGGCAACATGTACTAACATGCGTGGCTCGGCATTCAGGGGGCGGTAAAACTGCGGCTCAACCACCTGTGGGTTTTTTTTTACCGCCCCCTCGACCACCCATATAAATAAAGCCTAAATGTAGGTATTACAGTAATTAATGTATAACAGTGCTGCTGCTCTCTATTGACGATGGCTGTATGTGTCTTCAGACCAAACCAGTGGCATTTGCGGTAAAGACGAATGTGAGCTACTGCGGGGCTCTGGACGAAGATGTCCCTGTACCCGGCACTGCCATCTCCTTCGATGCCAAGGACTTTTTACACATTAAAGAGGTAAATCTGGGATGGATTTCTCCTGCCACCTGTCACTCGCTAATAAAACATCCGCGGTCAGACTACAGCTTGTTTAGGCTAAAAGGAAAACTGACCGGCTGCCAGGCCTTGCAAGACAGGATGATTAACCTCTTCAGCAGAATAGACCTTTGCCAGCTGGATTTTTGATATAGCCCTCATCTGCCGCAGAGCTATAAAGCAATGAGTTTAATGCAGCTGGATAACAGATGTCAATAATGGAGGGTATTTTTTCTTGGATGGTTCCTGATTGAATGTGCACTCACTGGCCAAGCCAGCTGTAGATAGGGCTACTGGTATGACCGTAACAAAGTATGCATTAGAAGTTCATTAAAGCTGAACTCAGACAGCAAACAGCTTGATACGCAAATTAAAAAAAATACATAAATGGGAACTATTTTACTTGACAAAGGATTTTTATTTTTGTCCATCCAGTCCTGAGGTTTACACAGCTCTGCCACACAAAATCAGGCACACATAGGTGTCTTCACATAACTTTCTGAGTGCAATCCAACGACAAACAAACGAAACCAGCGCTCAAATCCTCATGCAGACCAAAAAAAAATTCAGAATGCCAAAACGAAGAGGTGCTGCCCTTCAAAGATGGGGAAATCTGGATACTAGTGAACAAAAACAGACAAGAGCGCACTCTCATCGTGCATTACCGTGGTACACCACGTATTTATTGTGTAGGAAAATGAATATATACTCACAAACCAATGGAAATTAAAAACAGAATGAGTGGTCTGCAATAACAGTCAATGCAATAATATGTCCTTAATCAGGATAGGCTGACGCGTTTCGGGAGACAGGCCCCACTTCCTCAAAGCTCTTCGGGCTTGTCTCCCAAAACGCGTCAGCCTATCCTGATTGAGGACACATTATTGCATTGACTGTTATTGCAGACCACTCAACCTGTTTTTAATTTCCATTGGTTTGTGAGTATATATTCATTTTTCTACACAATAAACACATGTTTTACCACGGTAATGCACGATGAGAGTGCGCCCTTGTCTGTTTTTGATAACTTTCTGAGTATCCCAAGACCCAGGGAGTTAAAATGACAATAAAAGATATCCTAAGGCCTCATGCACACTGGGCGTTAATGTGCTCCTAGGGGCATCTGCCATGTTTTCTGCCTATAAATTCCACACATTAACCTATGTGTCCAGGTGTTTAGAGACAGGGAAAAAAAAACACTGCCAGCGCATCCAGGAGCACCTAAACGCATGTAAATGCATCTAAATATGCATTGACGCTTGGCACATTAGTTCATTGCAAAAGCCAAAATAAATGTATTTATTTATTTCAGGTACTTATATAATGCCATCAATTTACGCAGCGCTTTACATATATATTGTACATTCACATCAGTCCCTAACCCTCAAGGAGTGTACAATCTAAGGTCCCTAACTCACATTCATACATAAAATCACATACTAGGGCCAATTTAGAGAGGATCCGATTAACCTACCAGCATGTCTTTGGAGGGTGGGGCAAACTGGAAACCGGAGTACCCGGAGGAAACCCACGCAGGCACAGGGAGAACATGCAAACTCCAGGCAGGTGGTACCATGGTTGGGATTTGAACCGACAATAAGATTCTGTCTAATGAAGAATTAACTCCCAACTGCTTGACATGCCTAAACGCACTACACACATTTACAAGGGTCAAGTGTTGTTTCTGCCAATATAAATTGTAAATGAGTGTAGTGCTGCTGAAAATGATTGATAATGTGCAAATAATAAAAAGCTTTGAATATTTAACCTCTTCACGCAAATGTGCAACCTCTCGGTGTCTGGGCCTTGATTCCGATCGGCCGCACATTTGCATTCAATTAAAAAAAACATATGTGCTGAGAGCTCGCGCCCTGCGCACTCCCAGCATACATGTCTGGTACTCACGGAAAGGTCCCAATGTCCTTTTGTGATCGGGACCTTTCCCGATCATGTGACCGCCATGACAGCGAATCCGGCTTCTGAAACCCTTAAAGGGCCGGGAGGCGCCGGCGCCAAGGGGTTGAAGAAGAATTCTAGGCAAAATTATTATATTCCCATGCAGTGGAATGTGCCTGCATGGCATGGCTTAAATGCTTGTTTTTGTCTTAGGGCTCAGAAAGCAAAGATATACTTACCTAATCCACTGATCCTTCGAGCGCAAGACCAGTCTCCGCTGTTCCCCCCCCCCCCCCCGCATGCTGTGAATGGGCTGTTCCTGACATCATCACACCCATAGACCAGCTCCAGACGTGAGGACTGCTGGAACAGTCCACCGGCAGACATGGGGGGAGTGTGGTTTTCCAGAGAATCGGAAGAATGGGTAAGTACAGCTTTTCCCTGAGCCCCTGGACAAAACAAGCACTTAACCCATGCAGTTCGGGCACAGCCACACTGCAAGGGAAAATAAAAGTTTAACGTTTTGACCAGAGTTCTGATTTAATTGATAGTGTAATACCTCACTTATAAAATCCAAATTCCAAAAAACATCACTTCTATCCAGTCATGCATATACATCTTCATTATAGACCTTATTCTCCAAAAATAATCCATACACATAAACTACTTAATGGGCCCAAAATATAATTTCCGTACTTTTTTTCTTACTGTGTTTTTCTGCCTCCTTGTAATATCTGTGAGCTCTTGACCCTCTTCTTTTCCCTCTCGCTTCTGTTTGGAACAAGTAGTGCACATTAGTTGCGGTCATGTGCACTTTCCTATGCACACTACAAGTGCCATAGTGCATCTAAGGAGCGCGAAAGGGAGGGTGACTACATTCCTCCATACAGTAGGAGGATGGAAAACGAACGTAGCCACCCTCTGACAGGAAGTCAGATCACAAGAGCAAAAGAAGGTACTTTTGTGAATTAAAGTGGAGTTACACCCAAAAGTGGACGCTCCATTTTTCTGCCTCCTCCTCCTCCCCTCCGTTGCCGTATTTGGCACCATTTGGGGGGGGGAGCGGGTACCTGGTTTTCACAGGTACCCACTGCTGGCTCAGTTTGCCGCGGTGAACTGGGCAGAAGCTCGCCCCCGCAGCCCTCTGGGACACTTCCAAGGTCCCAGAGGTCTGCAGCTTTATGCATGCGCAATAGGAGGACGATGGTGAAGCTGCCCTCTGCTGACTTTTAAAATACAGACACTTACCTGTCTCCTGGTCCAATGGTGTCCTCACCATGGCTGGTTTTACCAGCCGCCTTCTCTCCCCATGCTGACATCTTCAGTGTGGGCATCCGGCTGTGACAGCTGGGTGCCCACTGCGCATGCGTGAGAAGTGCTGAGCTTTGTGAATGGCGCCGTAGTCTTCTGGGACCTGTTACGAGTCCCAGAAGACTGCGGGGAGTGAGGGAGGACAACTTCCGCTTCCGATTGCCTAAAAGTGGATGCTCCATTTTTTTGCCGCCTCCTCCCCTCCGTTGCCGCATTTGGCACCATTTGGGGGAAGTGGGTACGTGGTTTTGACAGGTACCCACTTCTGGCTCAGTTTGCTGCAGTGAACTAAGCCGGTAGCTCGCCCCCGCAGTCCTCTGGGACACTTCCAAGGTCCCAGAGGTCTACAGCCCAATTTCAAAGCACAGTGCGCTTTATGCATGCGCAATAGGAAGACAACAGTGAAGCTGCAAGGCTTCAATGCTAGTTTCCCATAACCAGCACCAGACAGGTGATTGAAGAATCGGCTCGGGGTTAGGACACTGCTGGATCCCTGGACAGGTGTGTGTCCTAATATTAAAAGTCAGCAGCTACAATATTTGTTGCTTCTGACTTTTCTTTTTTTTTTTTTTTTTTTTTTTTTTTTTAGCGGTGGTGGGGGCCGGAACTCCGTTTTAGGAACACATACTTGAATAGAATTTTTTTTAGATTTTTTTTAAAGCATGTCATTTCACGATAACACAATATCAGGACTCAGGCTTTTGTTTCTCCTCCTGCACTGCATTATAGGTTCATTGATGAGTTGCTTCACTAACCAATGGACTGTTGAAGAGGTTAGAGGGAGAATTTTGAGCTAAAGCTGCTATTTACAGTATTCAAATTTCTGGATTTCCCATCTCCTGGGGCAATGAGGAAACTATCTTAAAGCAAATCACGTGTCTTGCTCATGAACTGCAAAGTTTTGCTCTAGCCATCGTCTTTTTTTCCTTAATTTTTCCTTTGCTTCCCCACTGCTCCATTCAGCTACCCATGGCAAAGAAAATACTATGTATTTCTAGTATGTCGGAGCATATGACTCCTTCTTTGTGACCACACGGGGCTAATCAGTCAAGAAGGTGCAAGCCTTAACAGCCGGCTTCCCACACTGCGCTGCACAATGGCTGCTCTGGGGACACAAAGGCCAGCCCAGGTGAGGACAGCACTGGATCCCTGGACATGTGTCTTTATTTTTAAACGTTAGCTTCTACAGTATTTATAGCTGCTGACTTTTAATATTTTAAAAAGTGACTCGAGAACCACTTTAAAGTGTTACTAACCCCAGGACCCTGCATTCACTATATCTGGTCTCCCACAGTACACATAACATGGAAGAGCAATTATTTCAGTAAATATAAATTGCTAAATACCTTTTTTCATCAGCAGTATATAGCAGTCTTGTGACTTCTACCAGTGTCCAGCTGAGCACTGGTTAAAGTTTGTAGGAGTTTTCATTTTGCTCTAGGAGGATGCAGAACCCCTGACCTTTGTCTGGAGAGTGCCGATTGGCCCTGTGCTGATTACATGCACTATCCCAAGAAAAAAAAAAAAAAAACCTCTTCAGCAATACACACCAAACTGAGCGTGTGCAGAGTGACTCCACAGGATATGTCTTATCAGGAGATCGGAGGGGGACAGTAGAAGAAGGGGAGGATCAGAGAAGTCAGGATCAAACAGCATTTTTACACAGTGCAGAGGATTTACCCCTTAGGTTTCACAGTGAGTATAACAAACACAGTTTACTGCATATACAGACTGATTTTACTGTTGTGGGTTTAATAACACTTTAAAGCGGAGTTCCAGCTGAAAACAAAAATAAAAGTCAGCAGCTACAAAAACTGTAGCTGCTGACTTTTAAAATACAGACACTTACCTGTCCCTCGGTCCAGCGGTGTCCTCCCCACGGCTGGTTTTACTGGCCGTGTTCTCTCCCGGCGCCGGCATCTCCAGTGTGGGCACCCGGCTGTGACAGCTGGGTGCCCACTGCGCATGCGTGAGAAGCGCTGCGATTTGTGAATAGCCCCATAGTCTTCTTGGACCTGTCACGAGTCCCAGAAGACTATGGGGAGAGAGTGAGGGAGGACACTTGGGCAACCACAGCGGAAGTGGGAGCGGGTACCTGTCAAATTCGGGTAACCGCTCCCTTCCGCTCCCCAAAGATGCTAATCCTTAATGGGGAGCAGGGGACAAGGGTTTAAAGCGGACCTCCCCCTTTTTCCTGCTTTAAGTTCTCTGAATACCAATGACATCACACAGCTTCAGACCTATTGGAAGCCAACAATCACTATGACAATCCCGGTCCTTGGGGCCTCCTCTGTAACACGTCACCGGAAAGGGCTTACTCAATGTATGCTGTATGTGTTTCATCTCTACAAGTAAGCCCTTTCAGGTGAAATGCGTTAGCAAGGAAGTCCCGAGGGCAGGGATTGTCATAGTGATTGTTTGCGCTTCAAATAAAATGAAACCTGTGTAACATCATTGGTTTGTGGAGCGTTTCTGCCTTCTGTTCATGAGTTAAAGCATGGGTGGCTCCATGAATCACCTGAACCAGCATAGAGGGCACAGAGGGAGTATCCAGAGTTGAGAGTAGAGGAGATTTTTCCTACACACCCCTTGAAGTGCCATATGGTGAAGTTAGAAGCCTATTCCAACAAAATTTCTGTAGAGGCAAAATATTTTTTTTAGTGGTAAAAGTAAGATGACCTTTTCATGGGGCATAGAGCTGGGTGAATAATTAAAATTACATTTTCATGGGGCATAAGCTGGGTGAATTATTAAAATTACATTTCATGGGGCATAGAGCTGGGTGTGAATTATTAAAATTACATTTTCATGGGGCATAGAGCTGGGGCATAGAGCTGGAATTATTAAAATTACATTTCCATGGGGCATAGAGCTGGGTGAATATTAAAATTACATTTTCATGGGGCATAGAGCTGGGTGAATAATTAAAATTACTTTCATGGGGCATAGAATGGGTGAATTATTAAAATTACATTTCCATGGGGCATAGAGCTGGGTGAATTATTAAAATTACATTTTCATGGGCATAGAGCTGGTGAATTTTAAAATTACATTTTCATGGGGCATAGAGCTGGATGAATTATTAAAATTACATTTCCATGGGGCATAGAGCTGGGTGAATTATTAAAATTGCATTTTCATGGGGCATAGAGCAGACATCCCACCAAATGAGAACTTGTATCCAGCAACTGTTTTCAGGGCTGTCTACAGATCACCTATAGGAAAGGCAACTTACCAGAATTTAAAAAAAAATACAAAAAAAATGGGAACGCTACATGATTTGTGGGTGTGATAGTAAAGACATGTTTCATGTTGAAAGCGGAAGTGATGTAACATTCTTTCTTCAAAAGTGACTGCAGAGCTCAATCTCACTCCCATGAACACTAAGTCCTGTGAAGACTGAGATTGAGCTCTGCAGTCACTTTGGCAGCAGTTGTTGTTTCATTCCAGGTCACAGTCCTGCACAATGTTCTTTTTGTCTCTTTCAGTCAGTTGACCATGTTGACTATATATGCCATCATAACCTTTGATACTGTACCTCACGACACGGAAAATTAATTGGCAACTGCATTCACAGAGGCATCAGCTAACTGGGCACCAACAATTTTCCCTCTTTGAAGCTCAGTAAGCTCTGACATGACTCCATATTACTAGCAGTGAATGACAAAAGTGAGGCTTCCCACTTGCTAGCTAGGTGTCTCATCATACAGCAGAACCAAAAAGAATATTACATCACCTCCGCTTTCAATGCAAAAAACATGTTGGTACTTTCACACCTGCAAATCATGTAGTGTTTCCATTTTTTTGTCCATCTCCTGCACAACAGACATTAGTAATAATTTATTTATTTATTTCAGGTACTTATATAGCGCTGTCATTTTACGCAGCACTTTACATATATATTATACATTCACATCAGTCCCTAACCCTCAAGGGATGTACAATCTAAGGTCCGTAGCTCACATTCATGCATACACATACTAGGGCCAATTTAGACAGGACCCAATTCACCTACCAGCATGTTTTTGAAGTGTGGGATTAAACCGGAGTACCTGGAGGAAACCCATGCAGGCACAGGGAGAACATGCAAACTCCAGGAAGGAGGTGCCGTGGCTGGGATTTGAACCAACGACCCTAGTACTGCCAGGCGGAAGTGCTAACCATTTAGAAACTGTGCTGCCCATAATAATGGGTCCCATTCATACCCCATTCAATAGGAGGCACTTTAGCCCCTTCCATCCTCCACAGAATATGTATATATGGTTGTACATGTATGCAAAATATGAAATATTTTACTGCAAACTATTCACATTTTTAGAAATACAACAATGACTGGTGGATTGGGCGTTTGGTTAAAGAAGGCTGTGAAATCGGCTTCATTCCAAGTCCTTTGAGGCTGGAGAATATACGAATACAGCAAGAACAGAAGAGGGGACGATTTCATGGAGGGTGAGTAATCAGAACATTTTGGATTAAGTGCTGATTTTAGAGACACTGCAGAGAAAAACAATTAGCTGTACTAAAAGTAGAACTAGACGCAATAGCAAAATGACTGTCACTGTTATTAGCACTGCAGTTTTTATTTTTCTGAGACCCCCCTACAATATAGTTTTATACCCTTTTGATACTTCCAGAGATTCAATCCATCTATGGGCAGGCTGATTGGACCCAAGTCAATCCATCAATCAATCAATGTGGGTACAATCAGCCTGTCAGATTTTTTTCATGCAATTACTTGCGGCTATAACCACTGCAGTAATCATTGTGCTCTCCTGGCCGGGAAGGCTCCCCTTGCCCCCCTGCCAACAGAACACAACAGCATTGTGGGAGGCATTCCCCCATCAACACTGACTGCTGATAGGGGAATCAAAGCATTTTTGTTTCCTTCCACCATAGATAAATCGATTCATTTATGGCTTGCCTTAGATAGATATTTTTGCAAATGGGCTCTCCTTCTCCGCTCAGCGCTGTGGTGTCCCCGAGCTCCACATAGTGGTGTATTTAGGTTTTGTGCTGCCCAAAGCAACACAACCCCCCCCCCCCCCCACCCCCTGCGACCCATTCCTTCCCGCACACCACAGCCCTACAGTCCTCAGACCCCCCATCCCGGGAGAGAAGGAGAGACACTCACCATCACAGCTCCAGAATCCCGGCTCCCTTCCCGGAGTCTTAGGGCCACTACCTTGGCTCCCCTCACTCCGTTCTTTCATCTGCCGTCCAGCCCCAGTGCCCCTCGGAGCCTCCTCGGCGTGATGCAGGACAGCCAGTGTCCTTTCTTCCACGGAGTGGTGTCGCCCCTTTGAAAAATGCCGCCCAAGGCGAATGCCTTGTGTACCACGCGGCACATATGCCCCTGGCTCCACGCCAACCACTGACATCTTCAGTAAGTCTGCTTCTGGGTATCGATCTCCAGCTGTTCTCATTTGCCGGGCTGAGTTCAGTCATCTTGCCATTGCCGAAATTGTACACTGAGCTGTACAGGTGCAGCACAGTGTACAGTGCAGATAGGCAGGCAAGCAAATTTTATGCTGAAGAGACATAGGGCTGGATTTACTGAAGACAAATAGATTGTGCACTTTAAAAGAACAGTCGCTTTAGAGCTTAGTGAATGAGATGAAGCTTCATTTTGCAAAGAATACGCAATCGCATGCAAGGAAAATAAAGTAACAGCATTTTTGCTTGCACAGGATTGGATGATGAAAGTCAGCAGAGCTTGTCCTCATTTTCTAAGCTCTGGAGCAACTGAACTTGCAAAGTGCACAGTCTATTTGCCTTTAGTAAATCAACCCCATAGTATCTCTTGTGCATTAAAAATCCTGCTGGTTTGTAATTTTATTTATTTTTTGGTATTAAAGTTCCAAAGGCAGACAGTTACCAGAATACAATATTTTTTGCTCTAGTGGTCTTTTAAAGGGGAACTAAACTCTGCCCTTTACCTGCCTTTTTTAGCACAGTTTCCAAAGGACTAGTCACCAGTATTGCCCATGGTCTTTCTGAAGCTATTCTTTTCCTGATTGCTGGCTTACCATGCCTTGTTCTGCATTATGTCTCTGTGTGGAAGTGGCCATCTTAGTGGAGGCAGGGCTTCACTTCCTCATGTTAGAGCCTCCAGCAAGGAGAACAGTGAGTGCAGTAGTGAAATCACCAAATCTCACACCAAATCTTCTGAGACCAGCAGTCAGAGGCAGCAGTGCCTTAGATCTCACAGGTCAGATATAAAGCTATGAGGCCATAGGCACAAGAGCACTTGGGTCCACCAACATACCAGAAAGTAGTTTCAGGAGAAATTCCAGACAAAAGTGCATTTTCAGGGTACAAAGTCGGCAAAATTGACGTCTCTAGGTGATTAATAAAAAGTTAATAGGAAGCCACAGAGTGATTAAGACCACCATACTTCACTTATAGTTCCATTAAAATATTAGTTTGGATGTACGTAGCTGTGAACAACCTTTGAAATGTATTGCACATTACAGATAATTTGCTTGACTGGTTTAACCATAAAATTGTTTATTTCCAACAGTAAATCAAGTGGCACATCTTCATCAAGTCTCGGGGAAATGGTATCGGGTACGTTTCGATCAACCCCTCCATCTGCTGGTGAGACTTCTCAGGCAATGCATTTAGATGTGATTAAAGACTGGCCACACACCCCCACGTTGTGTGTCCTCAACCATACCTTTGCTGGAGTGATAGCCTACAACTCAAGCGAACTGTGTAAAATTCAATCGATTCCATTCAATGTCATCTCTACAGTTGTCTGTCTGGCAGTCTGCCCATAGTTATCAATGTCCTCAACAACGCATATATTCTGCAGTACGTTTAATTATTACATCTATTTATAGATAACACAGCCTTAGAATAACCCCAATTTTTGTAGCTGTGATGATTTCAGAGTTTTAAATAGGGTTTGGAATATTAACCCCCAACTTAGTTAAAAAAAAAATTGCACATGCTAATAAGACCTTTAATGAATGCTAATATTTTGTGAACACTGGTAACCATTCGAGATGGGTTATCCCACCATTTGCCGCAATTACCATTTGTGGATTTTGCTTCAATTGGCGAACGTCCACCCATTTGACTGCATATAGCTAATATACCAGCTTACACTTCAGTTATCTGTTAGATTTTAAATTTAACTTTTTCTAAATCCAGTAGCAAGTTTATAGTTAATGGGGAACACTGCCAGCTCTGGGGTATCCGTCACAGAACACAGAGCCCCCTTCACCTGTACACACATTCTCCAGTCTGTTATTAATCAAGGACTGGAGCACAGCTCTTTCCTGCCCAGCATGGTACTGCCTGCACTCTGAAGTGGTTGTAAACCTCTGACATAAAAAAACTAACAAAGGTATATCCCTCTATAGTGGGTACGTGCCTCAATCCAAAGCATCAAGCTCAATTTCTGTCTGCTGTCTCGTTCCTTTGCTATCTGCATGAGATATTTCTGACAGGTTGTGCCAATTCCAAGTAATTGAGAGGGACAGGGGGGGGGGCCTCCAGCATACAGCAGGTGATTGACAGTTCAGCTGTGCAAAGGGGTGTCCGATCCCTCCACCCAGGTCTCAGATTACACTCAGATGTCCTCTCTGAGCTGTGCAATATGTGACGTCACATCCTCACCCCCTGCTTTCTGAAATCTCAGACAAGCAGTATAAATTCTGTACTTTGAATGGATGTAGAGAACAGATGGCTGCAGATAAACAGGTACGACCTACGTTAGAGGATTTGTTTCTTCTCTGTGTTTCTCCTTTGGCTAGTCACTTCACTGGGTATATGTAAGAGCTTACAACCACTTTAATAAGGACACCTGTTGCTTTCTTCAAGATGCAAAACTCAAGGTAGATAGGTGCCAGGGAACCCACCCTCTCTTTCCCTGGCCAGACTCCACAGCCCTGAACCACAGGATCCCAGACTCCTTTTATCTTCCTCTGTAGGCATACACCACACCAACCTGTCCCAACCTAGAAAGCAAGTATATGTCATTTCACACCATACTTCGGCTCTCTGGGGATGTTTGGTGCAGTAGTTATTGCTCTTTTTATAGCAACATTTTATTGAATCTCTATATCAGGTCTTGAAAAAGCCGCTCGCCCCGCTCGCCAAATGCGAGGAGTAATTCCTCTGTGGCAAGCGGCTGCGAGTGGCAAGCACAGATGAAGAAGCATGGAGCAACTGCACATGCGCTCCAAGCCTCATTGTGAAGCCGAGTTCCGGTTTACAACTTCCGGTTTCCACGGCATCACCATTACAGTGGCAGCGCCGCTGAGGGGACACGTGCAGGAGAGGTCCACTCTCCTACGCTGAGAGAAGACACCCTCTCCACCGCCACGGGGGACTCGAGGCCTGCTCTCCACCGCCGTGGGGGACACGAGGCCCGTTCTCCACCGCCTTGGGGGACACGAGGCACGCTCTCCACCACCTTGGGGGACACGAGGCCCGCTCTCCACTGCCTTGGGGGACTCGAGGCCTCCGCTCTCTCCACCGCTTTGGGGGACACGAGGCCCGCTCTCCACCGCCTTGGGGGACACGAGGCCCGCTCTCCACTGCCTTGGGGGACACGAGGCCCGCTCTCCACTGCCTTGGGGGACACGAGGCCCACTCTCCACTGCCTTGGGGGGACACGAGGCCCGCTCTCTCCACTGCCTTGGGGGACACGAGGCCCGCTCTCCAAACTGCCTTGGGGGACACGAGGCCCGCTCTACACTGCCTTGGGGGACACGAGGCCCGCTCTACACTGCCTTGGGGGACACGAGGCCCGCTCTCCACTGCCTTGGGGGACACGAGGCCCCACTCTCCACTGCCTTGGGGGACATGAGGCCCGCTCTACACTGCCTTGGGGGACACGAGGCCCGCTCTCTACACTGCCTTGGGGGACACGAGGCCCACTCTACACCGCCTTGGGGGACGCGAGTAAGGTTTGTGACTGGCTAGTAGGTCTGGACTCTAAATTTTAACCCATGCTCTAGATTATATACTCATAAAATATAGTGTCAACAGTTCTACACCCATCACCCTTCTCTATGAAGATGCCGGGCCTTGCTTCCCCAGCTTAGAGCACAGTGGTGATAGTGAAGCTACAGTATTCAAATGGTGGATTCATTAATCAATGGGGCCTGGATCCTAGACTGCATACTGGACCTAGACTTCTCTTCAAGTTCAGATGAATGCCCACCCCAGCTAATGTCTGCTCCTTTTTCTGGCATTTGACAGCCAAATGACAGTAAAAGAAATGTGGATTTAATATACGTCCTGTGTACTGCTAAGGCCTAGGATTAAGGGTCCTTTACAGGCATTGAAGTAATTGGTAGATAAGTGTAGGTTGATGGCAATGCTAAGTAATCTTGTTTTGAGAATGGAAGGTCATCTTTTTTGAAAGTCCCCAACTCCAGAAATAAATATTGCTCCAGAAAGCTGGTGATTGACGTTCAGCAACATTGCACTCCAACATTGTTCAGGAACACAGTCTTGCAAGATCTTAAGCACCCAGCTTTCCCCCAAGGCAGCGATAATGTACAGCGACGTCGCTCATTACTCACAGATGCATCGGAGAGCCAGGGACAATATCAATATTTTTTCTAAGCTTTATTTTCTCCAGAATTTTTAGGCAATATATGTCTCAGGGTCAGGAAGATCTGCTTTAAGTTTGTAACATGCAATGATCATTAGATAATGAAGAGAGAAATTCAGCGCTCACACGACGTAGAATGGAATGGTGATATAGGGCGTAGTGGAAGGAAAAATGGGAACTGACTTGGAACACAGAAAATAATGGAGAAGAGTCACTGGGTGGAGTGGTCCATAGGATAGGCAATGGGAGGAGAAGGCAGACCAAGGGACCAGGGCACCCGGATGGGAGTCAGCAAGCTTCGTCGGGGATGGTGAAGATCCTATGTGACCGGAGTGATGGGCAGTGTGAACACAGGTGGTGCGTCCTGAGGCTGATGATGGAGGAAGGGATGGATCAAAAGGCAACTGCCTGGGGAGGAACCGGCAGCTCCTCATCAAGGATGTGGGGAATCCCTCCAAAATAGGCAGAAGAAAGGGAGGGCGCTAGGTCAGGAGGAGTAAATTCAGTGAAAAAACTGTAAATACAGAAGACTTACATCTGGGATTACTTCAGTCGGCATGTGGAGAGGAAGAACCAGCAGAGAAGGCATAGTGTGCATGAGGCATTAGGGCTCCAGCAGGTGAACATTATGGTGAGGGATCACGGGGTGGACCATCAAGAGAACCTGTCACTTTTCTTTTCACTCTTAAAGTTACACACTCACTACAGTTTTGTCTTCGATGCAACATAGTCAAACTCAAATTGCTTCATCCTAACTAAAAGTATTTTTTTTTATAGCACTCAGAATGTGTACATATGTACTGAGACTGCAAGCTGGCCCCCCCCAAAAAAAAGCCTTGGTGTGGATTTGTTTGAGATAAATTAGAATTAGGATGAATTTTTTATATAATCATGACAGGGAGGTGATTTCTCCTCCAAAAAAATGTCTGAAGCTCGTGATGTGAGAAAAGCAGTTATCTGCAGAAGCCTGTCAACACACATAATGAGACAGTGAGCTGTGTACTAATATTAGAAAGACAACCGCACTGACGTGAAAACAACTGCTTCCATGACTGTGCCGAGAAGGTAGAATTTCTGTACAAGAGAGATAATGCTGGAATGTTCCATCGTCCTCTTCTCACCACTCCCATGCTGGCCCTTGTGTTACTCCGATCTCCACTCTGGCCCTTGTGTTACTCCGATCTTCACTCTGGCCCTTGTGTTACTCCGACCTTTCTGTTGTGATGACCACAGTTAGGCAAAACCACAGGGTAGGAAATGAGTGGGCTTAATCTACCTACTAGGAACATTAGGAAATCCTGCCACAGTTACAATATTAAAAGTTTTCTTCCATTGCCTGGGTTTTTTTATTTTTGGCATTGTGGGAGGTCGCATAGATGAAAGAAAGCTCAGATGCTTCAGGGCCTCTGATGCTAGATGTAGTTTTAAAGCAGGGGTCTCCAAACTTTATAAGCGAAGGGCCAGTTTACTGTCCTCCAGACTTTAGGGGGCCCAGACTGTGGCCAGTGGGAGAAGAAAATGTGCTGGCATCAATGGGAGTAAACAATGCCTCATTATTGGTATTAACGGGAGATATAGTGCCCCATCACTGATAATCAATGGAAGGAATAGTTTTCCATTGTTGGTATCAGTGGGAGAAATGGTGCCCCATCATTGGTGTCAGTGGGAGAAATCGTGCCCCATCATTGGTGTCAGTTGGAGAAATACTACCCCATCATTGGTGTCAATAGGAGGAATAGTGCCCTATCATTGGTTTCAGTGGGAGGAATAATGTCCCATTATTGGTGTCAGTGGAAGGAATAGTGCCCCATCATTGCTGTCAGTAGGAGGAATAGTGTGCCCTATCATTGGTTTCAGTGGGAGAAATAATGTCCCATTATTGGTGCCACCTCATCATTGGTGTCAGTGGGAGAAATAGTGCCCCATCATTGGTGTCAGTGGGAGGAATAGTGCCCCATCGATCATTGGTGTCAGTGGGAGGAATAGTGCCCTATCA